GAAAGTAGCCACACAAGTAAACAGGGTGGTAAAGAAGGGGTATGGCATTATTGTTCGGGAAATTGAGTACAAGAGTCATGATGTCATGTTGCAGCTTAATAAGACTTTAGTTTGGCCACACTTGGAGTATTACGTTCAATTCTGTTTGCCACATTACAGGAAGGATGTGGAGGCTTTGAAGAGGCTGCAGGAGAGGTTTACCAGGATGTTCCCTGGATTAGAGGGTATGAGTTATATTGAAGAGGATAGAAAAACTCGGGTTGTTTTCTCTTGAGCAGCGCAGGTTGACGGGAGACTTGATAGAAGTCTATAAAATTATGAGATGCATAGAAAGGGTTGACAGTCAGAATCTTTTCCCCAGGGTTGAAATGTCTAATGGGTGGGGGGGCATGCATTTGAGGTTTGAGGGGGTGAGTTCAAAGAAGACATAAGGGGCAAGTTTATTAAGAGGTGGTGGTGGAGGCAGATACAATACAGGCATTTAAGGGACTTTTAGATAAGCACACGCACATTCAAGGAATGGAGGGACATGGACCAATAGCAGGCAGAAGAGATTAGTTTCATTTGGCGTCATGCTCAGCACAACGTCGTGGGCCGAAGGGCCGGTTCCTGTGCTGTATAGTTCTATGTTCTTGATTAGTAAAGAAATCAAAAGGTTACAGGAGAAGGCAGAAGAATGGGTTTGAGAAACATATCTGCCATGATTGAATGGTGGAGCTGACTCGATGGGCTGAATGGCCTAATTCTGCCCCTATATCTTATGGTCTATGATCTGTAGACACAGAATAAAAAATGTAAACCCTATTATCACATGGAGCTATGGAGCTTGATTACATTTTCGGTTATCACAATGACAATGAATTCTTTTTGGGAGAGAAGTTGGTGTGTAGAGCAATGCAGCATTCTATTTATGTACAGAGAAGTCCCACCAACATCTGTAACAAGATAATGCTTGAAGGAGAAATGTTGGTAAGACACAAGGTGAATAGTGTAGTAGCACCTTCTGAATTTATCTGTGAAGATAAATGGAATGCAAACGTAACCCTCAGCACTACAACGAAGTGTGAATCTGCATTGCGTCAATGGGAGACTTAAACCTACAGTCTTCCAATTAAGAGAGTTTGCTTCAAAATATAAAACTGACACCAGAGAATAATGCACAGTAAATGGATGTGTTTATTTTGTCAATTAAGAACAACCTATCTCTTTAATGACTTTCGACAGTGTCAGAAATAGTATGAAATATCATGCTTTATAATTCTATAAATGTTCAACATTTTATATTCTATTTATTTTATCAATTTCTATCACTTTATATCGTATTTTCAAAATATATTATATCTCATTGAAAATTTTTTTAAGAAAACTGCATTGTGTAGATATTCAACCTAACATGTTAATAGAGGTGCTACAAATTGTATCATGGCGACAGGATCTTCATTGACAGCCAATCAATAAATTCAGTTGTGCTAATTATATGACAGAATGCTTAATTTGTGAAGCCAACACTACAGAAAGTTTAGTAGCATTTATGAAACGCTAGCTGGTCACAGCTAGCACTCCAATTTTCCCTCTGCCAGCACAGAGCTTTGACTGTTTTCTTAAACCTGGAGGAAGGTGATTCCAGTTAGGTTGTTATCTTGTGTGCATAGCATAAATTGTTCATGTATTCAGTGAGATTACAAGTTTATCACCTTACATTGGAAACATATGCACAGCAAATACTTATTCAACAAAATGACAAAGTAGCTTTAAAAAATAAATCAAATATTTAATCTAATGAAGATTGTTTTTTGGCCTGCATGTCAATTGCCCAAGCAGCTACCATCTTGAAAAATCCCTAATGTGGAAAGGATACAAGCAGATTTCCTTCTAAGCAAGAGGCTTTCCATATATTGGTGTTCGTTCAGTTTATATTTTACATAATAAAGAATATATGCAATTCATTAGGGGATGGCTTACAGACAAGTATTGGGAGAGCAGAAATATTTTATGAAATGTCAGTAATGGGAAACATAGAATTTTTGTAGAGGAAAAAAAATCATTATTCAGAGTGGTTTGAAGAGAAGGAACTGGTAGGCCGAAATCAAAACGAATGATGAGTTGTTATGAATGCTGAGTCTTGGTGAGACAGAGTGCTGAATTAGAAATAATATGAAGTAACAAATACATTCACCAGCAGATAGAGATAACAAGGTGTAGAGCTGGATGAACATAGCAGGCCAAGCAGCATCAGAGGAGGAGGAAAACTGACGTTTCAGGCCCAGACCCTTCTTCAGAAATGGGGGAGGGGAAGGGGGTTCTGAAATAAATAGGGAGAGAGGGGGAGGCGGATAGAAGATGGATAGAGGAGAAGATAGGTGGAGAGGAGACAGACAGGTCAAAGAGGCGGGGATGGAGCCAGTAAAGGTGAGTGTAGGTGCAGAGTTAGGGAGGGGATAGGTCAGTCCAGGGAGAACAGACAGGTCAAGGGGGCAAGATGAGGCTAGTAGTTAGGAGATGGGGGTGGGGCTTGAGGTGGGAGGAGGGGATAGGTGGGAGGAAGGACAGTTTAGAGAGGCGGGGGCAAGCTGGGCTGGTTTTGGGATGCGGTAGGGGGAGGGGAGATTTTGGAGCTTGTGAAGTCCACATTGATACCATTGGACTGCAGGGTTCCCAAGCGGAATATGAGGTGCTGCTCCTGCAACCTTCGGGTGGCATCGTTGTGGCACTGCAGGAGGCCCAGGATGGACATGCCGTCTGAGGAATGGGAGGGGGAGTTGAAATGGTTCGCGACTGGGAGGTCCAATTGTTCAGTGCGAACCGAGCTTAGGTGTTCCGCAAAGCGGTCCCCAAGCCTCCGCTTGGTTTCCCCAATGTAGAGGCCACAACAGGAACAGCAGATACAGTATACCACATTAGCAGATGTGCAGATGAACATCTACTTGATGTGGAAAGTATTCTTGGGGCCTGAGATGGGGGTGAGGGGGGAGGTGTAGGGGCAGGTGTAGCACTTCTTGCGGTTGCAGGGATACAGACCAGCGGATAGAGACTGCTTTGCAAACTTTAGTCTTTAGTGTCCAGATTTTACATGTCCATCAAAACTGTGCTTTACACATGCTGAATATATAGTAAAGATGTAAAGTAATAATATATTCTACATTTGAAGGGGCAACTTAATGCAACAATAAACTCATGCACATCTTGCATTTTCAGATCAAAGAAACTAGCAATATACATGAAAAACAGTTATCTCGCAATCTTGTCACAAGTGTCCAGATATTAGGTGCAGGGCTTTGCAGGGTTAATTGCAAAGAGCAGGTCTTTGCTATATCCAGTGCTAAGGTTGATGTTAACTGATTTGTCTGTTTTCATCCTGATTCAACATTTTCATGGTGGCTTGATACAAGCGAATGGCACACCAGGCCATTTTAATGGCCAATTAGGAATCGGAATTTTACTGAGAGTCTGCATCATATGGTTAAGGACACACATTTTCTTCTTTAAAAGGACAGTAGCTAGTGAACTGGTGGGTTTACCCATAATCCCTTACTACAGCTTTAGCTATTTTATTCTAGATTTACTTTAGTTGATGGAATTTAAATTTTCCAGCTGCTGCAAAAGGATTTAAACTTACAGGCAGAATCCTGTGTTGTGGCATTGGGAAGTCTTGTTTATTGGCTGGCAAGCCATAAGACACCCCAAAAGTGATGGTACCTCTTTTCGGGAAGGCCCATCAATCAGTTTGTAGATAGGCCAGTGCCAGAACATCACTTGCAATCAAGAACCTAATGGGAGGAGGTCTCATCTACCGAGAGGTCCTGCACTCAACAATGCTATTATCGGTGCTATTGGAATCCCCTGGCATCCCAGGACTGTGAAGGACCCAGTATTCGGTCAGGAATACGGGAATGGGAGTGGGTTTTGCAAAGTGGAGGCTATGGAGAGAGACTGACATGGGTCAGAAGAGCAGGAAGTGGTTCTCATAAGGTGCCATGTCCTGCTTCCTGTTGGCCAGTCCAATGATCAGGCACCAACTGCCTGTCTGCCTAGTACTGGTAGAATCAAGAAGGCAGCAGAATTCAAGTACAACAGCACCCTGCCTAATTAAATGTCCTTCATTTTTCTGATGAAGGGTCTAGGCCCGAAACGTCAGCCTTTCTGCTCCTATGATGCTGCTTGGCCTGCTGTGTTCATCCAGCTCTGCACCTTCTTGTCTTGGATTCTCCAGCATCTGCAGTTCCTACTATCTCTAATTAAATGTCCTTCCTGTCCCCAAGCTTGCCGGCAACAAATACTGAAGATCCTTCCCTTCATCCCTGGAGCATTATTCCGGGTCTCTACTGGTCCACTAATATTACTGCTATGCTTCCTAGTATTGCTGCAAAAACATTTTAAAATAAGTGAAATCTTGTGGAAGTAAAACTGCATTTCAAGTGTTGTACTAAGTTCAGAGTTACTAATAAGTTGAATGTCAAACTTTGCCAATGATAGGTAATTTTGAAATGACATTTCAGATGACAAGAGTACTTCAATGTGACTGATAGCTTACCTAGCTTAATGACATCATTGTTGCTGGATACCAGGAGATTCTCTTGGCTTGTTGCTAGATTTGAAAATGACGTTTGGAAAGGGGAAGTCCATGCCACTTAGGACAGCTTCCTTCAAAGTCAGTTGTAAACACCACTGCTTTGCTATTGTGTGCAAAATCTCACTCACTGCGTTTTTTATATTTTCTTTTGCACAGAGACAGGCCCTTCAGCTCAAACTGCTCCATGCCAACCAAAATGACCATCCATGCTAACCCCATTTCCCTGCACTTGGCCCATGTCCTTTTAAACCTTTCGTGTTCAGGTTCTATTCGAGCATGACAACATCATGGCACAAACAAAAGTACATGCTGGCTCTTCTTCACTAAATAGCAACATTTATTTATCTGACAATTCTTCATCAATTGATTTAAGCAATATGCAAAGGAATACTATGATAGCATTAGAGCCAGTAAAAGTTTTCATACTCACTCTCTTCAGAGCACAAGCTGTAACGATCTTTTCATATTTTGTTCTTTGATATTCTTTGCCAAATAGGATGTTGCTCCGCACTGTACCAGGAAACACCCATGGCTGTTGAGCACAGTAAGCTATTTTACCTTTGATGTCCAAGATCCCATTTTCATTTGCAAGTTCACCAAGAATTGCAGCAAGAATGGAAGACTGGAAACAGAAATTTGACAACATAATTGTTAAATAGTTGTTGCTCATCAAGATTCAAGGCTTACTGTTTTAATAAGAGATAACACAATGTGGAGCTGGAGGAACACAGTAGGCCAGGGAGCATTAGAGGAGTGGGAAAGCTGACGTTTTGGGTCAGGACCCTTCTTCAGAAATGGGGAAGGAAGCTCAGAAATAAAGAGAGAGAGGAAGGGTGGGGCTGGGGAAAGTAGGTGGGATGGTAATAGGTGAGTGCAGGTAGGGAGTGATGGGGATTGATCAGTGAGATGGGAGGAGTGGATAGGTGGGAGAGAAGATGAACAGGTTGTGTCAGGTCAAGGATGCGGGGATGAGAGGGAGGGTTGGTCATGGGATAAGGCCAGGCGTGGGGAGATTTTGAAACTGATAAAATTCACATTCAGGCCATTGGGCTGTAGACTGCCATGACAGAATATGAGGTGCTGTTCCTCCAGTTTCCGGGTGGAATCGTTGTGACATTGGAGAATGCCCAGGATGAACATGTCACCCAGGGAGTGGGAGGGGGAGTTGAAATGTTTCGCGACCGGAAGGTGTTGGGGTTTGTCGCGAACAGAGCACAAGTGCTCTACGAAGCAGTCTCCGAGCCTCCGCTTGGTCTAACCAATGTAGAGGCGGCCACATCGGGAGCAGCGGATGCTACAGTCCTATACTGACAGATGCGCAGGTGAACCTCTGTCTGATGTGGAAGGTTTGTTTGGTGCCTTGAATGGAGGGGAGGGGGGGAGGTGTAGGGGCAGGCGTAGCACTTCCTGCGGTTGCAGGGAAGGGTGCCGGGGTGGTGGGACTAGGGGGGAGTGTGGAGCAGACAAGGGAGTCGCAGAGACAGTGGTTCCTATGAAAGGCGGATAGGGGTGAGGAGGGAAATATATCGTTGGTTGTGGGGTTGGATTGTAGGTGGCAGAAGTGGTGGAGAATGATATGTTGGATATGGAGGTTAGTGGGGTGATATGTGAGGACAAGGGGGATTCTGTCTTTGTTTTTGTTGGGGGGAGGGGATGTGAGGGCAGAGGTGCAGGAAATGCAAGAGATGCGGTCAAGAGCATTTTCAATCACTGAAGTGGGGGATGTTGTGGTCCTTGAAATAAGAGGACATCTGGGATGTTCGGTATTGGAATGCCCCATTTTGGGAACAGACATGGCAGAGGCGGAAGAATTGGGAGTAGGGGATCTCATTCTTGCAGGAAGGTGGGTGAGAGGAGGTGCAGTCTAGGTAGCTGTAGGAGTCGTTGGGCTTGAAATAGATGTCAGTTTCAAGGCGGTCACCAGAGATGGAGACAGAGAGGTCCAGAAGGGAGACAGAGGTATCAGAGATGGTCCAGGTGAACTTGAGGTTGGGCTGAAAGGTGTTAGTAAAGTTGATGAACTGTTCAAACTCCTTGTGGGAGCACGAGGCGGCGACAATGCAGTCATCGACATAGTGGAGAAAGAGTTGGGGGTAGTACCAGTGTAGCATCGGAAGATGGACTGTTCCACATATCCTATGAAGAGACATAGCTTGGGCCCATGCAGGTTCCCATGGCCACCCCCTTAGTCTGTAGAAAGTGGGATCTTAAACCATTTTTGGAGGATCTGGATCTTGTGTATACAGAGGTTGTCGCAGTCCGGGACAAATTGGGATGGCCTGAATGTAGATTGGAGTCCATTGTGGATGATTCAGTTCCATAGGCAAGTACTGAGAAAGATGACGTGGCTGTAGGACCTAGTTTGCTTGAGAATGTATTCAAAGAGTTTCAGGGCTGAAGAGATTACCAGAGGGTTGCAGTGGGAGAGAGATCCACTGAGTTCTTTCCGGAGGGAGGAGGATAATTTCTTCAAAGTGGGCATCTCGAGAAGAGGCTTTCCTTGCACCCACAGGAGGTGCTACACCTGCCCCTACACCTCCCCCCTCCCCTCCATTCAAGGTGCCAAACAAACCTTCCACAACAGACAGAGGTTCACCTGCACATCCGTCAATGTGGTCTATTGCATCTGCTGCTCCCGACGTGGCTTCCTCTACATCTGTGAGACCAAACAGAGACTCAGAGTCCTCTTTGTAGAGCACCTGAGCTCTGTTCGCGACAAATGCCAACACCTTCCGGTCGCCAACTATTTCAACTCCCCCTCCTACTCTCTGGGCAACATGTCCATCCTGGGCCGCCTCCAGTGTCACAATGACACCACCCGGAAACTGGAGGGGCAGCATCTCATATTCCGCCTTGGGAGCCTACAACCCAATGGCCTGAATGTGGATTTTACCAGTTTCAAAATCTCCCCACCCCCGGCCTCATTCCGTGACCAACTCTCCCTCTCATCCCCGCCTCCTTGACCTGACACAACCTGTTCATCTTCTCTCCCATCTATCCACTCCTCCCACCTTACTGACCAATCCCCACCATGCCCTACCTATCACCATCCCACCTACCTTCCCATAGCCCCATTCCTCCTCTCTCTATTTATTTCTGAGCTCCCTTCCCCCCACCATTTCTGAGGAAGGATCCCGACCTGAAACGTCAACTTTCTTGCTCCTCTGATGCTGCCTGGCTCGCTGCATTCCCCCAGCTCCACATTGTGTTATCTCTGACTCCAGCATCGACAGTTCTTACTATCTCTAGCCGTTTTAAGAAGCTTGTGAATTTTAAATAACTACTCAGTAACTCAGTGAGACCCAAGAATCATAGCATTACTTTTCCATGGTGTCTGAAACTTTAAATCACTGCTCAAGATTTGTTCAAGCAGAAAATCGGATTTCCTAAAAAGGGAAAGCAAAATAAAAGTAATGCTCAAAACACATTCCTCTTCAAGACAGCATTGAACAAAAAGGATCTCCACAAACATATAATAATTCAATAATAAGACTGAACTGAAATAAAGGAAGAATGAAATTCCAGGAAAAAAAATACATACGAGTCCATTCAGTATCAAGTTACCTTTTAGGCGAACGTTTCAATTTCTTCATGTCACAGATGATTGATTTGTAACTTAAAAAAACCGAATTTAATGTTTAACAAATCCATAACTAAAACTTACTTTGCCAGAACCCACAGGTCCTATCACAGCCACAAGCTCCCCTGGTTTGAGGGAGAAACTAATATGTTGCAGTGATGGAGTTTCTATTGTCTGTCAAACAAAAAAAAACAAGTAAGCATACACGAAAACACATGCAATGAATGTATTTTCATAATGTTATCACAATGCAACATTTTATCAGGTTGAAACACAGGAGTTGAAGTTGGCCAACATAAATCATTGATGGCATTTACAAATGATAAAATAGGATCACCGATGGCACTTAACTGAACAGGACCAAAGATTGCTCAGCCCATAAGAAATATAAGTAGACTACTCGCCCCCTCAAGACTGCCCCGTCATTTAATCGAATCATGGCTGATTTGATATTCCTCACGTCCACTTTACTGCATTTTTTTCCTTAACCTTTGATTCCCCTACTGATCAAGAATCTTACAATCCCGCGACGAGATCTTAACTGTTCACAACGAACCTGCTCCCAAAGTTCTCTGCAGTTAAGGACTTTCAAAGACTCTCAACCCTCAGAAAAGAAATTGCTCCTCACCTCAGTCTTAAATTAGCACCCCTTTATTCTGACAATAACCTGTCCGGCCCTAGACTCTACCATGACGGGAAACATAGTCTTAGCATTTACCCTGTCAAGTCCTGTAGAATCGTTTGTTTCATCAATCAGACTGCAGAAGAGGTCCTTCAGCCTATTGAGTCTACACCAACACGCATGAAACATCTGATCTTCGACCTAATCCCATTAATCAGCACTCAAGACTATGGGCCAAATGTCAAGATGTGCCAAGTGCTCATCCAGGTGCTTTTTAAAGGATGTGAGGCAACCCACATCTACCACCCTCCCAGCAGCGTCTTGCAGACTGTCACTACCGTCTGAGTAAAAAAGAAACTAATATGTCACATACCCCGCAAAACATCCAGCCTCACCTTGAATCCGTGTCCCCTCATAACTGACCCTTAAACTAAAGGGAAATCTGCTCCTTATCCACTCTGTCCATGCCCCTCAATCTTGTACACTTCAATCAGATTGCCCCTTAACCTTCTCTACTCCAATGAAAACAACTCAAGCCTATCCAACCTTCCTCATAACTTAAATTTTCCATCCCAGGCAGCATCCTGGTGAATCTCCTTTGCTCCCACTCGAGTGCAATCACATCTTTCCCGTAATGTGGTGACCAGAAATGCACGCAGTACTCTAGCAGTGGTCTCACTTAAGTTCTATACAATTTCATCGTGATTTCCCTGCTTTTGTAATCTATGCCTCAATTGATAGTGGCAAGTGTTCCATATGCCTTTTTCACCACCCTACTTACATGTCCTTCTGCATTTAGTGATCTATGGACAAGCATGCCAGTCTCTTTGTTGCACAGAATTTCCTAGTGTCATGCTGTTCATTGAACACTTCCTTGTCAAATTACTCCTTCCAAACTGTATCATCTCATACTCTTCAGGGTTGACTTCCACCTGCCATTATCTGTCCATTTGAACATCCTGTTTATATGTTCTGGTATTAATGACCTAATATTAATGACCTACACTATGGATTAGAGGATAATTTCAAAATTTACAAGTGGTACAACTTAGAAATGTAGTAAATTGAGAGAAGAAAACAGATAAATTCATGGAATGGCAGACACAGAGCCGGTGTAACTTAATGCAATGGTAGTAGTAACAAGGAGACCTGGAAGCATACTTGCACAAATTGTTAAAGAGAAGAGGTCAGATTGAGAAAGTGGTTAAAAAGGCATGCAGGATCCTGAGCCCTATTAATACAGGCACAAAGAAGAAAATTTTATGTCAACAAAAACAGTGATTGGGCCTCAACTTTCTTTTCTTTTTCTTTTTATCTTTTTATTTTTTTTTTAAATCATGTGCTGGTAAGTAGAGTGATTGGTAAAAATTTTTTCATTTCATTTATCTATTATTTGATATTATAGTAGGACTAAGCTAAGCTTAATAGTAAAAACAGCAGGAGATCCCTGACCTGTGTTATGCTCCTCTAGCTCAATGTGGGAGCTCAGGGACGTGGCTGATGTCCCTGACTCCTACACGTGTAGGAAGTGTGTCCAGCTGCAGCTCTTGTTAGACTCCATGACGGCTCTGGAGCTGTGGATGGACTTACTTTAGAGCATCCGGGATGCTGAGGAAGTCGTGGATAGCACGTTTAGCAAACTGATCACACCGCAGATTAGGATTGCTGAGGGAGAAAAGGAATGGGTGACCAAAAGGCAGTGAAAAAGCAGGAAGGCAGTGCAGGTGTCCCCTGCAGTCATCTCCCTCCAAAACAGGTATACCGTTTTGGATACTGTTGGGGGAGATGGCTCACCAGGGGAAGGCAGCAGTAGCCAGGTTTATGGCACCGTGGCTGGCTCTGCTGTACAGAGGGCGGGAAAAAGAGTGGAAGGGCTATAGTAATAGGGGATTCGATTGTAAGGGGAGTAGATTGGCGGTTCTGTGGTCGAAAACGAGACTCCCAAATGGTATATTGCCCCCCAGGTGGACAGGTCAGGGATGTCTCAGATTGACTGCAGCACATTCTGAAGGGGGAGGGTGAACAGCCAGCTGTCATGGTGCATATAGGCACCAATGATATAGGTAATAAATGGGATGAGGTCCAGCAAGCAGAATTTAGGGAGTTAGGAGCCAAGTTAAAAAGTAGGACCTCAGAAATAGTAATCTCAGGATCGCTACCAGTGCCACGTGCAAGTCAGAGTAGAAATGAAAGAATAGGCAGGATAAATGAGTGGCTTGAGAGATGGTGCAAGAGGGAGGGGTTCAGATTTTTGAGACATTGGGACCGGTTCTGGGGGAGGTGGGACTAGTACAAATCCGACGGTCTAAGGAACTAGACAATGAAGTCAGTGTGGCTAAGGGGAAGAGTAGGCAGAGAGCAGATGATGAACGCAAAGGGACAGGTGGTCTGAGGTGCATTTGTTTTAATGCGAGAAGTGTAGTGGGTACGGCAGATGAACTTAGGGCTTGGATTAGTACCTGGGAGTATGATGTTATTGCTATTACTGAGACTTGGTTGAGGGAAGGGCAAGATTGGCAACTAAATATCCCAGGATATTGATGCTTCAGGCGGGATAGAGAGGGAGGTAAAAGGGGTGGAGGAGTTGCATTACTGGTCAAAGAGGATATCACAGCTGTGCTGAAGGAGGGCACTGTGGAGGACTCAAGCAGTGAGGCAATATGGGCAGAGTTCAGAAATAGGAAGGGTGCGGTAACAATGTTGGGGCTGTACTACAGGCCTCCCAACAGCGAGTGTGAGATAGAGGTACAAATATGTAGTCAGATTATGGAAAGATGTAGGAGCAACAGCGTGGTGGTGATGGGAGATGGGAGATTTTAATTTTCCCAACATTGACTGGGATTCACTTAGTCTTAGGGGTTTAGATGGAGCAGAATTTGTAAGGAGCATCCAGGAGGGTTTTATAGAGCAGTATGTAAATAGTCCAACTCGGGAAGGGGCCATACTGGACCTGGTGTTGGGGAATGAGCCCGGCCAGGTGGTTGAAGTTTCTTTGGGAATAGTGATCACAATTCCATAAGTTTTGGAATACTCATGGACAAAGACGAGAATGGTCCTAAACGAAGAGTCCTAAATTGGGGAAAGGCCAACTATAGCAAAATTTGGCAGGAGGTGGGGAATGTGGATTGGGAGCAGCTGTTTGAGGATAAATCCACATTTGATATGTGGGAGGCTTTTAAAGAGAGGTTGTTTAGAGTGCAGGACAGACATGTTCCTGTGAAAATGAAGAATAGAAAGGGCAAGATTAGGGAACCATGGATGACAGGTGAAATTGTGAGACTAGCAAAGAGGAAAAAGGAAGCATACATAAGGTCTAGGCGACTGAAAACAGACGAAGCTTTGGAAGATTATCGGGAAAGTAGGACCAATCTGAAACGAGGAATTAAGAGGGCTAAAAGGGGTCATGAAATATCTTTAGCAAACAGGGTTAAGGAAAATCCCAAAGCCTTTTATTCGTACATAAGGAGCAAGACGGTAACTAGACAAAGGGTTGGCCCACTCAAGGACAAAGGAGGGAAGTTATGCAAGGAGTCAGAGAAAATGAGTGAGATTCTTAATGAGTACTTTGCGTTGGTATTCACCGAGGAGAGGGACATGACGGATGTTGAGGTTAGGGATACATGTTTGATTACTCTAGAGTCGGCATAAGGAGGGGGGAGGTGTTGGGTATTCTAAAAGGCATTAGGGTGGACAAGTCCCCAGGTCTGGATGGGATCTATCCCGGGTTACTGAGGGAAACGAGGGAGGAAATAGCTGGGGCCTTAACAGATATCTTTGCAGCATCCTTGAGCATGGGTGAGGTCCTGGAGGACTGGAGAATTGTTAATGTTGTCCCCTTGTTTAAGAAGGGTAGCAAGGATAATCCAGGTAATTATAGACCGGTGAGCCTGATGTCAGTGGTGGGGAAGCTGCTGGAGAAGATACTGAGGGATAGGATCTATTTACATTTGGAAGAAAATGGGCTTATTAGTGATAGGCAGCATGGTTTTGTGCAGGGAACATCATGTCTTACCAAACTTGACAGAATTCTTTGAGGAAGTGACAAAGTTGATAGATGAGGGAAAGGCTGTAGATGTCATATACATGGACTTCAGCAAGGCGTTTGATAAGGTTCCCCATGGTATGCTGATGGAGAAAGTGAAGTCGCATGGGGTCCAGGGTATACTAGCTAGATGGATAGAGAACTGGCTGGGCTACAGGAGACAGAGGGTTGTAGTGGAAGGGAGTTTCTCAAAATGGAGAACTATGGCCAGTGGTGTTCCACAGGGATCCGTGTTGGGACCACTGTTGTTTGTGATATACATAAATGATCTGGAGGAAGGTATAGATGGTCTGATTAGCAAGTTTGCAGACAACACTAAGATTGGTGGAGTGGCAGATAGTGAAGGGGACTGTCGGGGAATGCAGCAGAATATAGATAGATTGGAGAGTTGGGCGGAGAAATGGCAGATGGAGTTCAATCCAGGCAAATGTGAGGAGATGCATTTTGGAAGATCTAATTCAAGAGCGAACTATACGGTAAATGGAAAAGCCCTGAGGAAAATTGATGCAC